TACTGTCAGCCACCGCCTGGCGGTATCTCTAGCTGCCCACAGCGCGGGGTTCCCCAGGGCGCGGGGTCTAAGTCCCTGTCTGCTTGTTCACCAGGGCCCCTGATGGCGGGGATGGACTTGGAGCAGACTGAGATCAGGTCGCGACCCCTGAGTACCTCCGGCAGTGGTAGAGAATACCGTCAGAGGTGTGCGGGGAATAGAGCCTGATGTGAAGAGGCTGGCAGGCCTGGCAGCAGGGACTGATCCGTGCGGGATGGATGGATGGAAGGTCAGTGTGAGGTAAGGCGTAGTCAGGCAGACCGGATCGGCAACGTGCAAATGAATATAATTCCACACTATGTATAAATAATACTAACACTCCAATGAGACAATAGATGCAAACAACTGCTGTATTAAAATAACAAAATAATAACTGTTGCCATCTCCATGAATCCCATAGGAACTGCAAAGGATGCACTTTGCTGGTAAACACTCACTGGGGTGGACAACATAGGGGAAAGACCTCAGCCAGAAGGTTCTTAAAAACAAGTTGCTTCCGAATCACACAAGAGAAAAGATGCATAAATTACCAGTTGATGTTCCCAATTTGGAATGTTTATTAATATTACAGGAACCAGGGTCAAGAGAATTGTAACCTACTTGAGCCATATAATCAGAATGGAAAAAGTTTGGACATATATAGCTGGGTAAGCAATGCGTTCAAAATGGTCAGGCTCTACCACAAATAAGTTGCAAAATAGAGGACACCACTGCAAACAGGAAAAAGAAAAGGAAAATGCATATATCAATTTAATTCATTAAAAAAGTGTTTCAGGTTTTGAAAAAGAAAATCTAAAATAAAGCTCATTGTGTCCAGTTAGGCAGGCAGACAGATTAGACAGATACCTGATCCGTTTGGATGTTCAGTGAGTACGGTTCAGGCACAGCTGCAAGTTCTAAATGCTCAGTTGCTCTGTACAAAGGCTGCAAAGGATTGAAAATCAATCAATGAGCCATCAAAGGCTGGGATCATATTGTCTTCAGCCAATCTGCTCTAAGTACCATCCCCCAGCTGGAGGATGGACGGCGTAGCCATGCCCATCAAACACCATGATGTCATGCATCATCCGGACATTGGTAAGGGTGTGATGACGTCACGCGCCATCCAGCTGCCGGAGCCAAAGATAAGCAGCTGGGATAATTAGGCTGAAAAAAGGCCTGGATAAACCAAGCCTCATTGCGGATTGAATAGAGGCCTCATTTACCCCTGGAAAGTCTGTACCAGTGATCATCCACATCTGTAAATTTACCAGTGATCAATATCTGTGACATTGTACCATTGTCAAATTCACATCTGTCACAGCGTACTAGTTTTAAATCCACGTCTGTACCAGTCATCAACATCTGTCACACAATACCAGCATTAAATCTACATCTGTACCAGTGATCAACATCTGTCACAGCGTACCAGTGTCAAATCCACATCTGTACCAGTAATCAAGATCTGTTACATTGTACCAGTGTCAAATCCACAGCTGTACCAGTAATCAAGATCTGTCACATTGTACCAGTGTCAAATCCAAATCTGTACCAGTGATCAACATCTGTTACAGTGTACCAGTGTCAAATCCAAATCTGTACCAGTGATCAACATCTGTTACAGTGTACCAGTGTCAAATCCACATATGTACCAGTGATCAACATCTGTCACACAGTACCAGTGTCCAATCCACATCTGTACCAGTGATCAACATCTGTCACACAGTACCAGTGTCAAATCCACATATGTTCCAGTGATCAACATCTGTCACACACAGTTGTTTGCATCTATTGTCTCGTTGGAGGGTCAGTATTATTTATACATATTGTGGAATTATATTCATTTGTGACCATATTTTTAGATTGTATCAGCAATGTACTCATAAATGTATTTATACTACAGGTACCTCTGAAGAAGAGAATCTTTGTCTCGAAACACGCCAGAGTCTAATGCCCCGTACACACTATAAGAAAATTGTACGAAAAATATCCCTGAAATAAGTGCCAGCACATGTAATGTAGGGTAGATTTAGAAATGTGTCTAAATCTCCCTTGCCTCTGATGTCCAATCCACATTAGGACTGCGCTCCAGATGCTACTGACAGACAGTGAGGAAATGATGCAGTGCCTCCTCACCACCTGTTTTAACCCCATTTTTGCTGACAGTCATGTCACACCTGCGTGCATGGCACGTGGTTGCGGTACATTTATGTTGCTTCCTTATTGACTTGCATTCGGTGGGCTTTCCGCCTGCTGAGCGATACATGTCGGGTCAACTTTGCATGTTTAGCATTTGGTGGGTTTTCCGCCTGCTGAGTGATACATGTTGATTTTGTGGATCATTGGGGGGTCCAGTGCATTTTTTATGCATTTTTTATGCATTCCAGTACATTCCTGGGCGTTTTTACCACGTTCCAGTACAGTTCTGTGCAGGAAAAAAAACGCAACATGTTCAAATTTTTTGTTCTGGAACTGGAACGCACTGAAACTGCAAGCACTGTTCTGAACTATGCCATTAACAATCATGTCACCTACTTTCTGTGCATATTGGATGCAGAAAAAAAATACACTGGAATACATGTAATGTGAAACAGTCCTAAAGCTTCCTGAATTGATTGACTCATCGGCTGAGCCTTGAAAGAATGTGCCTGGACCCCACCAGGAAGAAGATGCCAGGCCTGTCTGAATGGTTGCTTTGGGCACTGGGTTCTCGGTTTTCTACCAAAACTTTCTCATTGTCTCCACTGCAAAATAGTGCACCCCCTTCATCCTGGATCTGAAGATTCTTCCTACCTTCTGCTGGGTGCAAAGATTCTGCATGGAACTTGCCCTTTTGCCAACACCTCCCCTTCTTCTGGAAGACTTCCTGGCTTTTGTACATTATACTGTACATGCTTGCTCACATGTCCCAATTTTTTCCAGTGAAATAATACTGTGTGTGAGTATATAACAATACGATTTGTTGACCTTCGTATTGGCCTGTCCACTGCACCTCGGTTTTTTCATCAAGGTGCTGGTCCCTATTCTTGCTCTGCTTTGCTTTCAGGGCATCCCTCCTGTGGCACAAAGAAAAACAACCTCTATTCTGAGCAAAACAGTTACCTTAGTCTCTGGCAGTCAACTTCCAATGGACTGTGATAACTATGCTGAGATATGGGTGGATTCAGAATCTTAAGAATACAGCCCATAGAAAGGTCTCATTGCTTGGGGTATCTGAACCTGCCCTTAGATACTGCCTTGTCTATGTTTTTTCTTTCCTCTGGATCCCAGAATCTCTTCTCTGGTTTTCAGGGTCTACAACCCAAGAGCCAATCGACACTTTGCATGAGGCTCTAGGGTCTAAAGATGACCTCTTTGGAGGCAGTTTCATAAGGCCATAGTCAATCTGGACTGTTTCAACTCAAGAGTCTGGCAGACTATCTGTGTAGTCTCTAGATAGTCCTGTATGCCTAACCAGCAGGACCAGGTTTGCCTTGGCATGGTTTGGCACAAGTTTCATGTATTTACAAATCATGTATTTACCAATGCAAAAACCCCAAATGAGTAAGATTAAAATTTATGATTTACTGCAATTAATCAGAAATAAAGAGAAGACCAAACACCAAATTAAACCAATTAAAAACTCTAGTCCCACTGTCAAATGCCTATAACCAAGATTAATCCTCCAAAAGAGTACTAAACATAGATAGTGTTGGCTCTAACCAAAAGATTGTATAATACCTACAGTGCATCCAGAAATTATTTGCAGCGCTTAACTTTTGACACATTTTGTTATGTTACAGCCTTATTCCAAAATAGATTAAATTAATTTTTTCCTCAACATTCTACAAACAATACCCCATAATGTAAGAACTCTATAAAATTTGAGGAAACCCTGGTATGTGTTTATCAATCCTAGTTATCAACAAACCCCAAGGTTTATACCATCGTGCCTCTAGACTCCAATGCAATGCACAATTATTAAATAAATAATATAATATAGGAGCAGCTATTATCATCTCAGTGCAAAATAATATCTAATATGTGACAAAAATATATAACTATAATATAAAAATGACCACAAGTAATAGCGCCACACTCAAAAAATAAATAAAATGAAACTACCAACAAATATATGTGTAAAATATTATATAACTAAATAAATAGAATCCTCATAGAATCCATTCAGTAAAATCCGCACATGAATAATGAATATGATCTTCAGTAAATGCAGCTATGAAGTCTTCCATCACCAGTGCATAATCCAGTGCTTAACACCCCATCAAAATGCACACTCACCAGATGCTGGTGAATAACCAGCTGTAAGGGATTTCCGGCAAGAAGAACCTATTCAGACGGTCTATTTAAGGAGTGTCTCTGCTCATGTTCAGTGCTGACTGGTCTTCAGCTCCCCCGTGTCCTGCTTGTTCCTGTGTGATTCCTTTGTTGCTGACCCGGCTTGTTCCTCACCTGACTCTGATTGCTCTCCTGATACTGGTTCCTGACTTTGGCTCTGCTCCTGACCTTGGCTTTTCCTTCTGACTCTGTACCGTGCTGCCCGACTGTTGATGACCCTGGCTATTCCATGACACTGCTCCTGTCTCTTGTCCTCACTACATGCCTTGCTCTGGTGCACGCTTGGCAATTTACAAAATCTGCTCTGCCTACTACTACTGTGCCAAAATCAGAGGATCATCAGCCTTCCAAGGTCATCATCTGCAAGAGCTGCAAACCACAACTACTGGCACTCTTGGTCCCCTGGGTCCTAGACTCAGGACTCCAACTCCAGCGGGGTCAGGGCTAGTGACACAAGTGAGGCCGACCTCGTCATTTCAGTCTCCCATCAGGTACGTGACACGAGCATATCTCTGTGTATTCAATTATATTAATCCACAGTTTAGCTCACTCCAGGTGAGAGATTTCTATATACTCCATAGATCACATGTGAACAAGATAAAAAACACTCGCCATAGTGCAAAATCATATGAAAACAATTTATTCCAAAAGTCCCTCTGTCACGTACCTGATGGGAGACTGAATTGACGAGGTCGGCCTCACTTGTGTCACTAATCCTGAGCCCGCTGAGGTTGGAACAGAGGGCGTCCAAGGACCAGGGGGACAAGAGCGCCAGGGTTTTGCTTGCGGCTCTTGCAGATGATGACCTTGGTAAGCAGGATATCTACTGATTCGGATACTGTAGAAATAGACCAGGCAGGTACAGTGGGTTGTCAGATGCACAGGAGCACCAGGTTTGCAGCCAGGACACAGGACTGGAGCGGAATCATAGGATAGCCAGGGTCATAACAGTCAGGCAGCGCGGTACAGGATCAGGAGGAAAATGCCAAAGTCAGGAACAGAGCCAAAGTCAGCAACCGGGGGGCAGAAGAGAACTCGGAGTCGGGTCAGGAACAAGCTGGGTCAGCACCAAAGGAATCGCACAGGAAACAAGTAGGACACTGGGGGAGCTGAAGACCAGTCAGCACTGAATCAGCACCGAGGTGCTCTTTAAGTAGCCCGCCCAGCGCCGACAGGCGCGCCTGAGTCCTAGTGCCTGCCCGGTGCCATCATTGGTGACAGGCGCGCCACTGGGTCCTAGTGCCCGCCTGCCTGTATGCCTTGTCGGGATCCTGCGCCTGCGCAGATTCATGCGCTGCGGCGATCTTCTTGTTCCCTGATACCCCCCATAAAATCGCACTCACATTAATTTAGTGAAAAACAAGCATTGTATAATAAAATTCTCATCACTTCAGAGCTCTCTGCTATCACAGTAGCGTCTCACCAGCCTGCCTGCAACCAAGATGGCGTTGTTGCGATCACGTGATCCGGACACATGAAGCGACGTACGCGATGGTGTCACTGGTTAAACCACTCCTAAACGCGTTTCATCACACGACGTCATCTGAGGGTGTGGTAAGCAGTACGTGGAGCGTGCTCTTATAGAGCCGCCCCCTTTCCTATTGGTCAATCTCACAAACAACAGCTGAAAGCCTAAATACTAATGAATGGCGCTAATGGTCAGATAGCTCAGGTGTATCAACCGCACCTAATCAGAACACCAGCACCATCTTGTGTATGAATAATATATAGCAGCAGGAAAATTATATCTTAATAAACAATTTGGGAAATAAATAAATACATATGTCATCATTATCACTAAATAATAAGCAAACAAATCAAATACATAATCATATTACTATACATAATAAAAATTTAAATAAATATATACAATTATGTAAATTAAAATAAAATAACTAAAATTTAAGCATCACTGATTAAACAATTTAAATCAAGTTCAGCATTTAAACCATTCGGACATAACGCTTCAGTCCTATATATTCATTTTGTTTCACATTTAGATAACTCCCTGATCCTATTTGATCCTCTCCAAGCTTTGGGGATTGATTTTATAGCCCAAAATTTGATATTAGTTGGGTCACTATTATGATATTTTTTTGAAATGTAAAGAAACACTATGGTATTTATGCCCTTTCAAAATATTTTTTAAATGTTCAAGTACTCTAACCCTTAAATGTCTCTTTGTTCTCCCAATGTAGATAAGACCACATGGACATTCTAGACCATAAACCACATAAGTGGATTCACAGGTTAGAAATCTGGTAATGTCAAACTCTCTTCCATTGGATTAGAACTAAATTTAGTTAATCCTTTGAACTTATTATTAACTATATGACAGGCAGAGCACTTCTTACAAGAATAGAAGCCTTTCCTATCCAAAAACATTCCCATAGGTTTGGGAGGGTCTAAAATCTTTTGGACTATTTTGTCTCCTATAATAGGAGCCTTCCTGTGTATGAAAATAGGTCTGTCTGGAATGAAACACCCTAATATTTTATCCATCCTCAATATGTGCCAATGTTTATGAAAGATATGCTCAACATCTTTATATTGTATGTGATAATCGGATATAAACCCCCATTGGTGTCTATCATCAGACTCCAATTTTGGTTTATCCCCTAAGAGTTGATCTCTTGATATCCTATGTATTTCTTTAACAGTATCTCTTAGTTTATCTATTTTATAACCTTTATCCACAAATCTATCAACAATAATGACAGATTGGGTTAGGAATTCACTATCCTGACAACAATTCTCCTCAGTCTCATAATTTGACCTTTAGGTATATTTCTAAGCCACTGAGGATGATGTTGAAAAAGGAGCGCACTTCCGCCTTCCACGGCCAGTGCATGCTCCGAAATGCGTCGCAGTGCACCCTGGGATCTGACGTCATCACGGCCACGCCGCCGCTACGTTCCAGCGTGCGTTCCATCCGGCTCTGAGGGAGGACGTGCACGCCGGCCGGCCTCACTGCTGTTCCCCTCCAGCCACCACGGTGTTCCAGCCGAGAGCTGACCTCCCCACATCACAGTAAGATGACGGCTCTTCACCCGGGTTACCACCCCACCGTTAACTATTGTTAACCACGGTTTTTAAGCTTATGATTACTTCACACATGTGAGTGTTTCTACATTTAGACTTGAATTAAAAGACTTATTGCACTTAGAGGTGCTTCTCTCCTTTTTCTCACTGAGGATGATGTCCACTATACCAGGGCAAATAGCTGTTCCAATCAGTGGGTTTGAAGTAAGTTTTAGTTATTAATACATAATTCTTTCTAAAGATGGTAAGATCCGAGAAATGTACAGTTTCCATACTATATTGGTATTCCAACTTAATGTTATTGGGATTATTGTTTAACCCATCTAAAAACATTAATAATTCTTTCTCCTCACCTGCCCAAATCATGAACATATCATCTATAAATCTCTTATATAGCAAAACCTGTTCATGTTGATGGTTGAAGACAAACCTATCTTCCCATTCTGCCATGAACAGGTTGGCTATGCTGGATGTGAAGCAGGCTCCCATAGCAACACCCATCTTTTGGGAGAAAAAATTCACTATTGTACCAAAAATAATTGTGAGATAAATGGAATTCCAAACTGTCCCTCAAAAACTTCAGAGCAAGGCAGGTAGTGAGGACAAGAGACATGAGCAGTGTCATGGAATAGCCAGGGTCATCAACAGTCGGGCAGCACGGTACAGAGTCAGAAGGAAAAGCCAAGGTCAGGAGCAGAGCCGAAGTCAGGAACCAGTATCAGGAGAGCAATCAGAGTCAGGTGAGGAACAAGCTGGGTCAGCAACAAAGGAATCACACAGGAACAAGCAGGACACGGGGGAGCTGAAGACCAGTCAGCACTGAACATGAGCAGAGACACTCCTTAAATAGGCCGTCTGGCACCAATCTTCGCCGTGCGTGTGCACGTATGCGTGCGTGTGCGCGATCGCGCATTCCTGCGCGCATGCGCACAACGGGCAATTCTCCTGCGGGAATTCCTATGTGCATGCGCATTTCCGATCGGCATTCATTAGTATTTAGGCTTTCAGCTGTTGTTTGTGAGATTGACCAATAGAAAAGGGGGCGGCTCTATAAGAGCACGCTCCACGTACTGCTTACCACACCCTCAGATGAAGTCGTGTGACGAAACGCGTTAGGGCGTGGTTTAACCAGTGACGCTATCACGAAACGCCGCTTCACGTGTCCGGATCACGTGATCGCAACGACGCCATCTTGGGTGCAGGCAGGCTGGTGAGACGCTACTGTGATAGCAGAGAGCTCTGAAGTGATGAGAATTTTATTATATAATGCTTGTTTTTAACTAAATTAATGTGAGTGCGATTTTATGGGGAGATGTTTGGAATAAATTGTTTTCATACAATATTGCACTATGGCGAGTGTTTTTTTTTTTATCTTGTTCACATGTGATCTATGGAGTATATGGAAATCTCTAATCTGGAGTGAGCTAAGCTGTGGATTAATATTATTGAATACACAAAGATATGCTGGTTATTCACCAGCATCTGGTGAGTGTGCATTTTGATGGGGTGTTAAGCACTGGATTATGCACTGGTGAAGGAAGACTTCATAGCTGCATTTACTAAAGATCATATTCATTATTGATGTGTGGACTTTACTGAATGGACTCTATGAGGATTCTATTTATTTATTTATATAATATTTTACACATATATTTATTTGGTGGTGGTTTCATTTATTTATTTTTTGAGTGTAGCGCTATTACTTGTGGTCATTTTTATATTATAGTTATATATTTTTGTCACATATTAGATATAATACCCCATAATGACAACGTGAAAGACGTTTGTTTGGTCCACCTGTGGGAAATTCAGCTGATTGGACATGATTAGAAAAGGCATAAACCTGTTTATATAAGGTCCCAGTTAAAAGTGCATGTCAAAGCACAAACCAAGCCATGAAATTCAAGGAATTGTTCGTAGACCTCTGAGACAGGATTGTATCAAGGCACAGATTTGAAAAAGGGTACAGAACAATTTCTGCAGCATTGAAGGTCCCAATGAGCACAGTGGTCTCCATCATCCGTAAATGGAAGAAGTTTGGAACCAACAGGAATCTTCGTAGATCGGGCCACCTGGTACAGAACAATTTCTGCAGCATTGAAGGTCCCAATGAGCACAGTGGTCTCCATCATCCGTAAATGGAAGAAGTTTGGAACCAACAGGAATCTTCGTAGATCGGGCCACCTGGTCAAAATGAGCGATCGAGGAAGAAGGGCCTTAGCCAGGGAGGTAACCAAGCACCTGATTGTCACCGGATGGAGCTCCAGTGTTTCTCTCTGGAGAGAGGAGTACCTTCCAGAAGAACAACCATTTCTGCAGCACTCCACCAATCAGGCCTGTATGGCAGAGTGGCCAGACGGAAGCCACTCCTCAGTAAAAGGCAAATGGCAGCCCGCCTGGAGTTTGCCAAAAGGCACCTGAGGGACTCTAAGACCATGAGAAACAAAACTCTCTGGTCTGATGAAACAAAGATTGAACTCTTTGGCCTGAATGCCAAGCGTCATGTCTGGAGGAAACCAGGCAGCGCTCACTACCTGGCCAATACCATCCCTACAGTGAAGCATGGTGGCGGCAGCATCATGCCGGGGGATGTTTTTCAGCAGCAGGAACTAGTGAGGATTGAAGGAAAAATGAAGGCAGCAATGTACAGAGACATTCTTGATGAAAACCTGCACCTTAGACTGGGGCGACAGTTCATCTTTCAACAGGACAATGACCCTAAGCACAGAGCCCACATAACAAAGGAGTGGCTACGGGCCAACTCTGTGAATGTCCTGGAGTGGCCCAGCCAGAGTCCAGACTTGAACTCGATTGAACATCTCTGGAGAGATCTGAAAATGGCTAAGCACCGACGCTCCCCATCCAACCTGATTGAAGCTTGAGAGGTACTGCAAAGAAGAATGGGAGAAATTGGCCAAAAATAGGTGTGCCAAGCTTGTACCATCATACTCAAAATGACTTGAGGCTGTAATTGGTGCTAAAGGTGCTTCAACAAAGTATTGAGCAAAGGCTTGTGAATATTTCTGTATGTGTTTTTTTTTTTTTTTTACTTTTAATAAATTGCAAACATTTCAAAATGAACTTCTTTCACATCGTTATTATGGGGTATTGTTTGTAGAATGTTGAGGAAAAAAATTAATTTAAACCATTTTGGAATAAGGCTGTAAATAACAAAATATGGCAAACGTTAAGCGATGTGAATACTTTCTGGATGCACTGTATGCTAAATGTTTGTAAATAAGGCTAGAGTCCTAGTCTCATTTATTATAAAAAAGGCTGATATGAAACAGATGAACTGGTATTAAGTATTTACATATCAATAAGAGTTTTATTAGATCATCGAAAAGGCATATCATGTCATTCCATACAGTAAGAAGGCTGATATAATCCCTAAGATGCAAAGACCTCTATTTATATCTATATTAATAAATGTCATGTGAGTCCCCAAAGGATATTGAAGGTTTCTATTCATAGTCTTCCTAGCTCCCCCTTGACAAATCTCCTTTAATAGATCAAAATTAATGTATATATAATTCAAATACACTATATTGCCAAAAGTATTGGGCCAGCCCTCCAAGTCATTGGATTCAGGTGTTCCAATCACCTCCTTGGTCACAGGTGTATAAAATCAAGCACCTAGGCATGCAGACTGCTACAAACATTTTTGAAAGAATGGGTCGCTCTCAGGAGCTCAGTGAATTCAAGCGTGGTACCGTTATAGGTTGCCACCTGTGCACGAGGTGGAGGGCTACGTAAAAAATGACAGAGCAGGGTCAGTGCATGCTGAAGCGCACAGTGCGCAGAAGTTGCCAACTGTCTGCTGAGTAAATAGCTAAAGACCTCCAAACTTTGTGTGGCCTCCATATTAGCACAACACCAGTGCATGGCTGAGCAGCTGCACCCAAGCCTTACATCACCAAGTGCAATGCAAAGCGTTGGATGCAGTGGTGTAAAGCACGCCACCACTGAACTCTAGAGTAGTGGAGACGTGTTCTCTGGAGTGATGAATCATGCTTCACTGTCTTGCAATCTGATGGACATGTCTGGGTTTGGCAGTTGCTAGGAGAACGATACTTGCCTGACTGCATTGTGCCAAGTGTAAAGTTTGGTGGAGAGGGAATTATGGTGTGGGATTGTTTTTCACGGAATGGGCTTGGCCCCTTAGTTCCAGTGAAGGGCAGTCTTAAGGCATCAGCATACCAAGACACTTTGGACAATTTTATTCTTCCAAATTTGAGGGAACAGTTTGGGGATGACTCCTTTTTTTTTTTTTTTCGAACATGACTGTTGTCCAGTGCACAAAACAAGGTTTATAAAAACATGGATGGGCAAGTTTGGGGTGGAGAAACTTGACTGGCCTGCACAGAGTCCTGACTTTAACCTGAAATAATACCTTTGGGAGGAATTAGAGTGGAGACTGTGAACCAGGCCTTCTCAGTGTCAGCTATTTACACCAGACATCCCAAGAATATTGCTACACTGAAACAGTTTTGTGAAGAGGAGTGATCCAAAATTACTCCAGATCGTTGTGCAGGTCTGATCTGCAACTACAGGAAACGTTTGGTTGAGGTTATTGCTGTCAAAGGAGGGTCAACCAGTTATTAAGTCCAAAGGTTCACATACTTTTTCCTCCCTGCACTGTGAATGTTTACATATTATGTGCAATTAAACCATGGCAACATCTAATGTTTGTGTAGTATTATGTTCAGCAGACTGTGTTCTTCTATTGTTGTGACTTAGATGATGTTCAGAGCACATTTTATGCCCAATTCATGCAAAACTCCACGTAATCCCAAGGGGTTCACATACTTTTTCTTGCAACTGTACATCATAAAAAATGGAGTTGTGTGTTTTTTGGAGTAATGTATATTACTCCTTTTTAGATTATTCGAGTAATCCATTAACATAATGGTAACTAATAAAGTAAAAGAGAAAAGGAAATCAAGAGAGAAGATAGAAGTAACACCCTCGATCCAGAAACTTACAGTAGCCTCTACAATAATTCACGCATTCCTTGAAATATATTTAATCTAGGGGTTCCAGGTTTTTTCAAACAAAGACATTTTATCATTTAACCCCTTCATGCTGGAATCTCCCAGCCCTTTAAGGGATATCTGACGACAAGAGATGGGGCGAGGTTTAGGGTCATGTGACTGCCGTGATTGGCTGTCACAGCTGTCACATGATTGGAAAGGTCTCGATCGCAAGGAGAGATCTGTGGGACACCGCCACGTGTGTTGGGAGTGTGCAGGGCGCGCGCTCTCAGCACGTTTGTTTACAAATGGTACGCAAATATGCGGCCACTCGGCGTCAAGGCCCAGCCGCTGAGGGGCAGCATATTTGTGTACCATTGGCGTGAAGAGGTCAATATTGTGGAGAGACGTTCAATGATCATTATCCATGAAAGTTTAGTTTTAGTTCAAGTGGGATTGTTGGTGATTTCCAATATTTAGCAATAGAGATTTTAGCTGCTATAAATATAAAGGTAATCAAACTCCTCCTGTGTTTTTGGTACCACTCACACTGGGCAACATAACAAGGCATTTTGAGGGGATTTATGTATATTGATGTGAGTAAGGGAAAAAATCAAGTTTTAAATATTAAATCGTTTAATTTTTGGACA